GCGTGTCGCCCCCAACTAACTTGGAGAGCGCCACCCGCTAACCTCCGTAAGGATTCCTCGCTCTGTCTATGAGGCACCGGTGGCAGCCTCGGAGGAGTCTCGACCACCTTACACGCCTCCGTACTACAGCCCCGATCCTCCGCCACGTCTATTGCCACGTACGCGGACCTAGGCATCTCCAGACCAGGCCGCAGCCATAAGTTACTACTAATGTTGTTCCTGTGTTCCGCGGTCGAATTCGCGTCGGAATGGATTTCAAGACCGGGTCTTGTAAAACTCTCTCTCTCTCTCGCTACATTCCTCATTAATCCCCTTCTTTGTCGGGCGTAGAACATAATTTTCATGCAAATTCCATCTATCTTCCGGTCGGTTGGGGATGGTCTTTAAACTGCTATTTTGACATCGTACTCACAACCGACCTTAAAAGCCTTCCCGATGAAACTTCCCGGGCTTCGCGTAAATTTCAGCCCAACGACGCCGGAATGCCGTGGAAACCGTATCCTCTCTCCCGCGCGCGAAGTAGTTCATCCTTAAGTTTCTACTTATTTTCTTCGCCTACTTCGAGAGAAGAGTAGGCGGCGGCAGTTCGGTCTCGCGACCGAACTTTGATGTTTCCGCCATCTCGAACGAGTTCGTCGCGAAAGTTTAATTAGATCCACCTTCGAGCAATCCCAGACCCTCTTCTGCCATCATCGGTCGTCGCGGTAGCGAGTTAATGAATTGGTAGCAAATTTTATTCACTTACAAAGATAGTGCGCATTTAATGAGTCCGTGAAAATATTCAAACTATCGCTTCGCTCCGTGCTTACTACGGAATTTGATCATCTTCGTTACGGAAATGCTCAAATATCCGTCGAACAAAATTCAGTCACTGAGAGTTTTATACTTGCATAATTTTTTTGATTTGACATTAGGTATTTTTTATTTAATCTCCAAAACCACCAAGAGTCAATTGTACGTTCAGAAATATTCATGTCGTCGTCGAAACTCTTTCGGCGGTTCAGCTCGGGACGATTAACGGTTTTCTCATTTTCTATCTCGCCGAATTCGCTTTAAGTAAATTACTAGTCACGGGTTAGAGTTCGGTGTACACCAACTTCCTGGCCAACGTGGATCCCCCCATGTGACGACAAGCGGGTGCGGATGCCAGGGACCGGCGGTGGGTGAGTTTGTGGATTTACACGACACCGAAATACAAGCGGCGAACCGACCTCGAGAGAGAGAACGGGGAACTTTATTGCATTACGCTGGCGTTTTTCCTATAGTCGTGCGGTCTCGTTGTTGCAACGTGGGCGCGCTAACCTCATCAAATTGACCCCTACACTTGGGCTTAGTCCCGGGGACAGAAATAACACCGTCGTCCTTTCGTCCTGCGGCATCCGGTCCGCGTCGGAGAATCAACGAATTCCCCGGATGGCTATGAGGAGCCGCGCGCGAGGATTCCCGACGCCGTAAGAACGGCCATTAAGTCGGCGATAATAGCCGACGATAATTCGCCTTTGTTAATTAAAGCGTAACGAGGCGATAGCTCAAAGGTTTCATATAGTGCGGACCCCGGCGCTGCTCGCGCGATCTTCATCTTTGATCCTCCGCAATGCGACTCATGATTTATTCACAGGAAATTCCCGGAACGCTTTTATAGAGATCCAGATTTTATCGAGGCGAACTCTCTCGACGGTGTGGCGGCGGATTTCTTTTATTATCCGAGAACGCGATCGGTTTATAATCGCGAAATCTTTGTTACTTGTATACATTGTCTATTTATATACATCTAGTATCTATTTTGTCTCTTCACTTGTGCATTTCGCTTGTAAATTAAACACGTGCGCAATTTGCAACATTAAACTTGTATCTAAGTAATTCACGTCAGTGAGAAAAAAAGGACTTATCAGAATAGCAAGAAAATTTAGTTACTATATGACCAGCAAGAAAAAATTGCTAAGTCTATTGGATTTTTTGTTCTGTAACCAACACAAAACGGTTTGTTAACGTAACAAAAAATCAGTAAACTCGAAATTTTTCCTGCTGGCCGTATAATGGCAAAACTTTTTTTTTTCTGTGCACATTCACGCGAACTGCTAACTCGATATTTCTAATAATAGAATTCAATCACACGGCGGATATTAATACTTCGTCATTCGACGGCGTCCACATTGTAGCGCGAAAAATCTTCTCTATCTTCTTTATACGTACACACACGTTGCCGTGCAACATACGTACGTAATCGACCTGATTTAATTCAATCTAATCGCGTCCGAGAGAGATACTTGGTGCACACTCGCACGAGTGGCTTAATGGCCCGCAGTTTGCGGCTGTAGAAGGCAACGACGTTCCGCGGGAGGAATCTTCGCGGGCACCACCCGGGTGGTTGTCTTTCCCGTCGCGCCGTTGCAAAGAGAAGAGCAATTCCTTAATTTCCCATATTGTAGCTCGTCCTGGCTATCCCGGAGCGCCCCGCTGCGTTATAGCGCGGTTTAATCACACTACAAGCGCGCATCCCTCGTTAGCGGGATATCGTACCCGTGGCGGCTATAATATGAGACTACATTCCACGCGGCGGATGCCGCGCAAGACATTTCCACCTCGGCTACCTCGTGCCGTTGCGGAATCATAACCTTTCGACTTTGTTGGGAAACTGCGAACGAATCGCATTTTACGCGGAAATTGCATTGTGCACATATCGGCGCGTTATATTGCGCGCAACACTTTCGAATAATCCTCTTATTTCGAGGTATAATTTTTTTTAATTACGGCCAACGCGGGAGAGACATTCTTAATTCTTTTTGCTGCAAAAGTTTCAAAGTCCTATGCTACTCCGTTGCGTTAAACTTTACGTGAAAATTATTCAAGTATTCCGTCCTTTCTTGTAGGATTATTTTATTGCATTATATCTTTATAAAAAGCACAGAGAGAAAACTTAATGTGTGATAATGTAATAAAATAGAAACAAAATTATTATTATAAAACAAATTATAGTTTTTGCATTTTACATGCAACGTAGAATATGACTTTTTAAAAACAACCAAGGATTAAAAATTGTTCTCTGGATAATTAAAATTGACACAGTGCTCTCTTTCTATCCGAACGTACTTTCGCATTTTTGGGACCGCGCCGCAGGAAAACATTCGCTCCGAATGTTCGCGCTGCCCAATGTCGCTGGATCTATAATGATCTTTCGTGTTCGTGCCGAATGAAGAACGAGGAGAAACGATGAGAGAGCAGTTACATCTCGGAGGACGCCGCGCTCGGTTGAAAAACATTCCTAAGGAAACCGAAGAAAGACACGCGGAGGGAGTTGCTCGCAATAATTGTGATTTACGATTCGGTCGCTGGCAAAAGTAAAGCGCGCGGCGAGTTTGTTTGAAACCGTTCGTGGCGACGCGTTTCGCGGGGATGGGGTAAAGGGGGAGGGAGAGAAGAAGGAAGGGGCAGAAGAACTCGTCGGCGAGATCGGGTGATGGGAGGGGAAAAGGCGAGGGAGGAAGCGAGATCGCGCAGCGGTCGCTTCCTGGTTTTTGACAAATCGCTGATGGAAAATCCAGACCGAGCGCATGGGAAACTGCGACGGGCGAAGTCAAAGAATCACCGCGCGAATCTGTGAGAATGATCCCAACGTTCGCGGGTGCCTTAATTGGCACTTTTTTCCTCCGCTAGTTTAATTAGCAAAGCTCGTAATTCCACGCGGAGAACGTCGAGTTCTTGTTAATGTACAAACGGATGATATATACTTGTGTCCTCGCTGATTGACATAACGACGTGTTTTATATATCGACACATCTCGCGCGATCTGATGTTTAATTAGATCGAAACGGAATGAGCCGTCTCTCTCTTTCTCTCTCTCTCTCTCTCTCTCTTAGTTTCAATATGTTGAAATTTTCACGTCCGGCTCTAACGTCGCCAAGATTACCGCGCTGCTTGATACGCGGGATTTGATAAGAGGCCAACTCGGATGACTAACAGCGGATAATATCGGGGATGCAGGTTGGATTTTAGCATAAGAAAAGGCCTAGAGCGGAGCTATTTCACAATAGCGGTCGGGCGTCTTTTCCAAACCCGGCGACACACTCGTTTATTCGTTCTCTCTTTCTCTTTCTCTTCGTCTTCATCGCGCTCGTATTGCCAGCTTCATCGCCCATGAGCGTGTATTGGTGGCGAAGGGTAGGACGCAATCAGTGCCCTTGATTTATCGTGGCAATATACATTAAGATACCGACATTAAAACTAGGGGAGTCTCCTCGTGGATTCCGAGGCTCCATTACCGCGTAGAATGGAGAGAGGAGAGAGAGAGAGAGAGAGAGAGATCTGTCGTCACGTTGCATCGAAACGCTCGGAGACGAGATTGAATTCTCAGCTGCGCTTGATCCGTTCGACATTTTCCTGAAATTAATGGCGATCGCACGCGCGAAACGTGTCCCTTCTAGCTCAATTAGCAAACGCGCAACTGTTTATTGACTCCTGCTGCCGAACTGAATATTGCATACATTACATCAATGACACAAAAAAAAAATACACAATTGTAAATACAAAACAATTTCTCAGCAAGATTTCAATGTTTAAAGACCAACATACAAAACATTACAAGACACACGTACACAAACAATGACACACCGATTCGTCGATGTCACGAAAAATCTTCAAACATCAGTGACTTGCAAATATCATTATCGACACGTTATTAATGGTTTTTTTTTTTTTTTAAGACAGTAGTTTAGAACAAACTCTAGTTTTTGAAACATATACAAGATAAACCTCCGAAGTTATCGGGGGGCGCGGTCGTGACTTCGGCGAATCGCATTACACAAGCTCGCCGTGGCCCTCTCGACGTGTGGCTCCTCTCGATCTCCCTCGTCTCTCCCGTCTCTTCGCGACGAGGGAGAACCGAGTATCGAGTGGTCGTCGAGTTCTCGAGTTCCTCGAGAACTTCGAAAGGGGTCGCGGCCAGCTTGTCCAATACCCGCCTGCCAATTACGGAACAGAGATCTAACCGTAGTAACGTGTAGTGTTTCCACCATTGTCCGCAGGTCCAAGCGGGGCGTACAGTCCGGATGCGACGATGGGTTACATGATGGACGGACAGGCGGCTAGCATGATGCACCGGCCGCCTGGTGATCCTACCTTCCATAATCAGTACCATTACCCGGCGGAGTACTACGGACATCACATATAAAGGTTTGTATTATGTATTGCTGATGCGCTGCGACCGATTTTCATATGTGCTGGAACACCAGTGTCCGTGCTGGTGTCCGTTGCACCGGACGTTTAAACTATTTAAATGTAAGCGACAGCTACGCGATTTATTTTTTGTCCTTTAATCTATAAAACAGTGATTTATGTTTGCTACAAATATTCATTGGTGCATCGAGAGAGAAAGAGAGAATGAATGAATGAATGAATGTTTGTTTGTTTTATTTGTATAAGGGAGAGAGAGAGAGAGAGAGAGATAGAGCGTTTTAATTAAAATCTATAAAAAAATTTATACATACATTTTTCTTCTTTTTTTAATCAAATTACCGTAGACTGTAGGGATGGATAACTTTGCGTGTTTCAGAAATCTAGCGAGACGGAATGCAACGACGGTTCTAGCGACACAAAACGCGTGATGGACCTAACGTCCTCATGAATCTCGGAGGACAACAATGATCCGCGGCGCGATCACGGCGGAAACCGAAGAGTTTCTTGTCACGCCGCACGTCGAAATCCGGTGACACTCGGGTGTTCGAGAGAAGAAAAAAAACGAGCAAGACGAGCGAGTTCAAGGAACGACGAGGCGAGCGAAACGCCGCGGAAGGCCGACGAGGAAGATCGTAGAACCGTCGAAGGGGAGAAGAAGGACGGTTACGAGGACGATGCGGAGAGCGGCTGCGGAAGCGGCGACGCGAATAAAGGAAGAAATGGAAGAGAAGGAGTGTGAAAGAAGTTGAAGCCGCGCGGTCTTGCGGTCGGTAAAGTGACGCGACCGCGGAGAAATTCATATGTGATTGTTCTTTGTACAAATATCGCGGTGTAATATTGTAGTGATTGAAGAATTTAAATGTTAAATTTTAATACGGTCGCGATCGAGATATGTTAATGAGATATAAGTGATATTATAGGCAATTTAGCGGGCATGTACATTAAAAAGAATAAAAAAGAAAAGAAACAAACCCGGTGCTCGCACGGAATAGAACGTTCAAGTGCATAGACGACGCAAGAAAACTATTAGAAAAGAGAGAAAGAGAGAGAGAGAGAGAGACCAGATAAGAAGAGAGACCACGCGCGAGAGATGGACAAAAGAAAGATGTCGGAGAAGTATATATATATATATCTATATATATATATACATATACATGATGTATACATATATATATTATAAATAAAATATAAAATTCATGCTGAGCGCGAGGCATGAAAAAAAAGAGAAAGATTATTATGTGGGCACGGGAGTTGTTTAAAGGTATATAAAAGAAAACGGATGCGCAAACACATACAGGGGGACGCACTAGGATCGAATGACATCGACGCGTTGCCGCAACTCAAGCGTCGACCATTCATATATATATATATATACATATATATATACATATATATATATAGAAATATTGAAATTTGTACAGTTATTAATAATAAATGAATTTACTAATTAAAGGAAAAGAATATATTATATATAAATATATAAATATATATATATATAAATATATATATATATACACACTCAAACACACACACACACACACACACACAAACGCGGAGAGTAAAACAACGTGTGGCCCCGGTTGTAATATATAAGTCGAGCGTTGTAGTTGGACTGGGACAATTATATCGTGTATTGGCCGACGCGTTTTCTAGGCAGAGAAGAATTTCCGCACCACCCGCAAGAGAGAGAAAGAGAGAGAGAGAGAAATAGACAAACGGAGAGACGCGAGTGAGAGAATACGCGAGTAAACGTGCTGAGGGGATTCTAGATATAAATAAAAAGCGGAGATATAGATATCAGTGCAAAAATAAAACGAGAGAAAGAGAGCGAGTACGAGAGGATTGACGCTCTTCGTCGTGCACTCGATGACGCAGCGAGATATCCCTTCCGAGAGAGTCCCACCCTCTAAAATCCCTGCCTCCCTCCCCCCAACCCTCTTCACCGCACAAGTGACACACTCGTACACTCACCAGGAGACACCGTCATTCTCTCAGCTTCACGGAGAGAGACACGCGGTACACGATCAGCCTATAACGGAACACAAAGCTCTCCCACGCGACCATAAGAATAATTAAACAAAAATAACGCGTTTATAGTTTATTATAATATTCTGTATAACACACACTAGTTAATTCAATTGTGAAAATAATAAGAAGAGGAAGAGGGCGGAATTCGATTGGGACGCGCGAAGTGTTGTTGTTAAAACATCTCGACGATCGTCAATGCACTCGTCAAGGACGTTCAACTCACGTCAGTGCAATATTAAAGAAACGGTCGAAACCCCCCTCCTCCCGTTTGAACAATTAAAATTTTGCACCACAAGCGTTCGAAGATATTTGAATTGTTTGTTTTTAAGTTTGAAGATATGTTCGAATCAACATTCTTCGCTCAAAGTATTTGATTTCAAATTATTAATTAGTAAACAATCCGAGTCAAACCTGTTGTAACTAACTTCAGCTTTGAAGTTCCAGTTTCAACGTGTATTTCTCGCGAAGCAACGCACCGATACAGGGTAAGAAAGAGGCAATTTCGATAAAACTTAGAATAACTGTTAAGTTTTGGTTCGCATAGCGCGTTGTTGCTTTTTCGTTGTTTCTTCAACGTTCGTCGTGCAAGATTTCGCGCTGATTTCGGCGAACGACCGTGCGGGAAATGATCGTCGAGGAGCTCGTGTACTCGCGCGAGCGCTTGCGCGATCTCGCCAGTGCTCGCGCGCGGAGCACAATCCCTTCTCCTAGAGAAAACCAATTAGCAGCTTCAAGGAGAACCCTATCGAATTTGACACTTTCCTTATCCTTTCCTCGTCTACGAGGACGGATCGATATTATATCACCGCGAGACTCTATCTGCCTTTCGTTCCCATAATACGCGCGCGTTTCTTTGCATGCACGTTCACTCGCGACTTATCGTTACTACGGCCAATCAACGAATCCGGACACGCAAAAAAAAAACTCCTGTCCTCTCCTATTGCTTTCCTCGCACCTTCTTCCTTTTCTCCTGTTTGTGGTCGTCGATTTCGTTAATTTCGTTCAACAGCACGAACCGTGTCGTATATATTTTTGGCAAGATTTACAACCGTTTCCACAGTTTGTCAATAGAACGATAATATTTCGGAAGAACGAAAAAAAAAAAAAAAAAACAAAAGAACCCACACTGCGCATTCTCGATTTTCCACATCTGTACTTATCTCTTCCAATCGCTTGTCCCTCGTTCCCCATAACGGTATATCGGAGGAATCCTTTATATTTCTATACGGATCTTATCGGCGCACGCGTCCCTGATATACGTAAACCAAGTTAGCGAGCAAACGATGATAGACAGAGAGAAAGAAAGTAGGAAACGAAAAAACACACGAAAACGTGCGAGGGAACAAGAGCGAGAGGGAGGAAGTGTTTTTTTTTTTTTTTTTTTTTTCAAAGAAGGGGAATTTCAGATTGAATCTGCGTTAAGATTTTTATTTTTACTTTGCAAAAAAGCTTTTTTTAAACGGTCAACTATTTAAGCATGTTTATTAAAAGAAAAAAATTTTAATGAAATTAAAAAAAAAAAAACGTCGATTATACCGCGTGAGAGCGAAATTCACGACGAATAAGGGTACGAAATAATAGAAACGCCCCTCGTTAACGTCACACGCGTCACGCGAGGACGCGTGTCTCGTTGATCTCTCGACGATCGAGACACGACGGTCCGTCCGGAAGGATGGATCGTCGCCAAACCTCCATCCTCTCTGATCGACGGAGCACGACGAGAGACAAGAGAGAGGACGAGTAGAGGATATGAGGGAGCGAGAAACGAAACACAGAGAAAGAGCATAAGACAAAAATTTTATCGATATTTTCAGTACGCCCGCATACACTTGCAAATCTTGTATAAAGGTAAAAAGAATTTTAATGTAACACACAACTGCTCTTTGCCGAGAACCGAGGCGGCGCGTTGGCGACACGTCGGTGTTCCTCACACGACATATCCCTCTCTACTCGAAATCTGTCAAAAATCTTCGACGGATATCGCGCAGATGACGACGCCGAAACTCCCCTCTTTTTTCCGAGAAAACAACAACTCGCGTCCAAGAGGAACGCCGGCAGTTGCGCGTTCCGTCTCGCGTTCCGATCGGCGTTCTAGTATACTAAAAAAAAAAAATATTTAAAAACAACAAAAGGATAACCCACGTATACCGAAAGACTCAGGTGCGAGAAAAGTCAGTATATAGTTACGGTCCTGGTTAAATCGGAAGAAAAACCTTCGAATTCGTAAGTTACGTCGCGCGTGCGTCGCGCGTACACGCGCACGTGCGTGGGCTCCTCTGTACATGCGGTGCGAACACACGCGCCGATCGATCGTGCGATCCAGTCTGTGTTGTTGTTTTTTCGACTTCTCTCTTTTTAAAAATAGAAAGTGCAAAGAAAGAAGGCCGGAGATTCTTCGTTGCGCGAGACTCTCATCGCGGGGAAATTAATCGCGATCACCGCGACGCGGATGAAAACGGTATACGATAAGAAATACGAACGGAAATTGTATACGTTGAGCGCGAGAGATCGCGCCGCCGAGATTACGCACGCGAGACCACGTCGACGTAGAGATCACTGGACGCGATGATTTTGATTAATTCTGTCACAACGATATCCCTCGCGCGTGCGAGAATTGTTTTTTTTTTTTTCTCAGAACGTGCGAATGATTGTCAACGTGATCGTCGCGTGATCGAGGTGTTGTAAATGTAAGAAAAGTAACTATATCTATAAATAATTATATCGAGAGACAATCACACACAAGAAAGAATTACTACTGATCGGCAATGCGACCGATGATGTCTCTTCTGTCGTCACGTGCGATCGTCAAAAAACGGCGCAATTTTTGCGAATTATATTTGTTGACAATATATTGTTTAATTTTGTTGAAAACCCGTCTTGGCGGTTGCGCGCGACGACACGTTGAGTGTTTTTTTTTTTTTTTTTTTTTTTTTTTATGTCGAGTCACGTACGTGAGCGATCAATTTTCCCCGAACGATGAGCGAAGCTTAACATGCTGACAGTACTTTTATTACACTGAAGTCGATTGTTGTTTTTTTTTTTTTTAAAACATGTATACTTAAACTAATGCAAGTTTTTGATTATATTATTTTAATGTATGTATGTTTTACTTACTATTTATTATTTTTATAATATTTTATTGGATTTTATATACACGAGGGAAAAACGATATTATTCATATCGCATCAGTCAACGTGGTGAGAAGAATTGTTTTGCAAACATAGATACAACGCACGTATGAAACGAAAGGAGATCAATGACGTATGTATCTATTTTTGTAGTTATTTCTCTTTTTAACAATTGAACTTTAGCAAAGTAAAAATTTTTAAAGAGTGTACGCGATGTAACGGTAATTATTAAACACTTTGATTGCCACGTTACGGAGATACACTTTTATATTTTTACGCGAGTCCGAAACAATATGTAATATCATTTTCGTTCTTTAATAGAGACTTTTGTATAAGCAATGCAATACAATATTGTAAAAATAATAAATATAGGATTTCAAACAATACGACTTTAAGCTCATTTTTTGTGTTAAATATTTATGATATTTTGTTAAACGCAACGTGTGCAATCAAAGTGTTAAAGTACCTGAATTGAGTTGATTCGTTGTAAAATTTTCGAAAGAATTTCCGAAGAACAGTGCAAAACTCTTCGTAAAAAACATTGTTGGTTTTAGAAAACTGACAAATGTGATTTACGTAGGAAATGTGAATGACGTAGGAAAAAGATCGCACGATCGAGCGCGGACGCGCGCGAGAGCATCGGCACGACCCATCGAGACGAAGAGACCGGAGCGACCGGACGTCGTATTGGCTGTTCGTTTTATAAATGAGTTCACTCGATTGAATCATCGCCTTAAAAATGTATACGAAGTAACAGTAAGGTCTATCTAAGTAATAATCATGTTAGAGGGTAAATCGTAACAAAGATTTTATGAGCAGCAACACGAGAGGGCAGTACGAAAGAGAGAGGAATGCGTGAATAGCGTGTGTGCATGCGCGTGTGAATAATTAAATGAGTATGGGAGATAATGCGAAAGCATAAATGAGGAAACGTTTGAGAGAAAAACGCGTGGAAAATGCGTGCGTGAACAGTAGCGACAGACGTGACAATGTATAATTATTGTATGTAATTACACGACAATGCGAAATGATAAACTGCGACGGTGATCATAACGATGATGAAAATGACCGTTCGTCTTGTCCCGGTTAAGATCACGTATGATTATTGTTGTTATCATATTAAAAAAAAAAAAAAAAAAAGCGATGCGAATCTATTAACAGGAATCTGTGAATGACTGCGTAAGATGTGACGACAATGTGTATAGTAAGCTAAAAATTTATTATTATCTTGGTATGGAATCCGATTTTTTTTTTTGCAACT